ACCTCCAAAGAACAAACATTAAAATATGCAGCATGCAACTGAACCTCACTTTGTTCATCACGTCTAAGTGTCTGGGTCCACGACTGGAATTAGGGTCACCACGCATGAACATGGGAGCTTTAAATCTTCCCACTCAGCTAATCCCTCCTCTTGAGATTAAAAAAGGTAGTGTAGATCAGCTGCACTATGTTCATACACACTTGGTCCTAAGATGCCTATGATACAATAATTATAAAACTAGTCCCTTCATCACCCATACAAATTCATATTGTTACTTATGCAAGCTATAGAGAAAGACACTAATAAAACAACACTATAAAATATACCAGTTACTGAAGCATGCTGGCAACATTCATAAGAAGAAACAATAAAGATCATTCATTTTAAGTTTCAGGTAAATTTCAGTAACTTTTAAAACAGTGTTCAATAAACTTCCAGATAATGCTTGTCCCAAAAATGGACTCAGTATGAATAATGAAACCAAAACCTTTAGAAACAACAACAAAAAAACAGCCAATATCTAAGAGAAGCTTGCCAGGACAATCATTGCTGATGATGCTTAAATGCAGCAGAAATTAATGTTTTTGTACCTTCTTAATTTAGTTATGGTCTCAGTCTCATTTCTTCCAAGCAAAAACAATAGCCATCACCAATATCAATCAGCAGAATGCCAGAGAAAACACTGGCAGCATTGACTCATGCATTTAGAACATTAAAATCAGTAAGAAAGTTCTCCAAAGCAATTCCGTCCCAACTATGAATTAAAAAATGACTGAAGACAGTTAGTCAATGTTTCTGAAATTTCTCAAAATAAAGGAACAGCTGGTAAATCAAATAACTTTGCAAACTTGACTTGAAATCTGTGTTCTGCAGTCTCTGGCAAGAGTTGAAGATCACTGTTCCAAAAGTCAGTCTCATAAATTGATTTGTCCTGACTCTGGGGGATGGTGGAGGACAGGAAGGCCAGGAGGAATGTTGTCCATGGGGTTGCAATGGGTCGGACAGGACTTCGCGACTAACAACAACATTACAATTTGGCATTTATGAATTTGTATGCTTTGGCACTCTGAAGTAAGGTTTAAAGTAGATATTCCAATTTCCCCCCACTCATATACACTTAAACTAAAGCAGCTTTCCATTCTAAAAGAAATGACACCTTAGACATTTAAGCAAATGAATGTATGATACATGAGTGAGATGCATCCTTTGTGAAATCTCATAAAATAAGAGTGGACATGTCCACCTGGCTGGAGGGCAAGGCACAATTAGCATGTGCCATCACCTCTCCATCTGCCCTAAATACTGTGCAAGAACTTCAGAAGCTGCCAGGAGCAGGAGCGGGGGGGGGGGGGGAGGCAGCTACCATCTACCTCTTCAGTCACAGCTGAGTGAATTCAGCCTATTTTCCACTTGTGTCGCCTTGGTCTATGCATATTGCCTCACAGTGCAAGCTAATATACTGGAAGAAGATCCTTAGATTGTTAAAAGTATGCAAGTCAGACTACAGCTTTCATTCATTAAAGGATAAGGGGTAAAACAGCCCCTCCCTCAAAGAAAAGGAAAGGAAACAGTTTATGCTCTATGTTAAACTACCTGAAAGTGGGGTTTCAAACTTATTTGGAGGCTCAAGGATCCCTATCGTGTTTGCTAGACAACATTGTCATAGGAATAATCTTCACCTCTTTAATCTTGTGGAATCAAGAGAGAAGGCCGAAAGGACAGGTGGATCAGATAAGGCCATGTGCGCTGGGGAACACTTCTAGGGGCACTTGGAACCTAAGAAAAGAATATATGAGGAGATGGACCATTGGCACCTTTCGAGAACCCAGGAAGGTAGAAGAAAAATTAGAGTTGAGATAGAGTCTCAAGCTGCTCCAGGTAGGCAAGAATCATTAAGTTCCAGCTTGTGTACATGGTAGATGCTCAACATGTAAAACTGGAACCTTTGAGTTTTAGTGAGACACTTCTCAGGCCTTTATCTACAATCCAATCAACTAAAATATACCAACAATAGCCTTCAAACTCCACCAACAGTTTCTCCACATATTTAAGCATTTTATTGTCTCATTCTTCTTCTCAAGAACCTACTTCTGAAATGCTGGTAGTAACTAACAATCTAGTGAATGCCTTCCATAGTCAATCTCATGGTCATTTTATTGCTGTTGTAATTAAATGCCATCAATTTGCCTCCTTGCAGCAAATCCATGAATGAATGTCCAAAATGTCCTTCTCCTTGATAACCCTGCTCAGCTTTGTAAACTCAAGGCTGTGGCTTCCTTTACGGAATTGATCAATCTCATAGCTGATCTTCCTCTTCTTCTTCTGCCTTTAACCATCCCTAGCATTATTGTCTTCTCCAGTGAGTCTTTCTTTTCAGGTATGAAAGAGAATTTAATTAAGCTGTGCGTTTGTCTAGACTTTTTTTCTGGAAGGGTGTGTGTCTTCCATTATTTGTCACTGTCACTCATTTTCAGGGTGAAACTTCTGGAGGTCAAAGCAAAGCTGATAGGGGAGCAAGATGGGAAAAAGGCAAAGAGGAGGCAAGTGCCATGTGACCAAACATCCAGAGGAGAATGGGAGGAAGAATGGTCTGAGCACAGTGCTGACTGCAGCAGCACACCCACAATATACTGACCCACAACACCCACGAAGCATGGCACACTGATCCTATGTATGCTGGAATCACACCTTGCCCTTGTGTTTCAGAAAAACACAGAGCAGTAAAACATTCAGGTAAGACGCAACCAAACCTTTATTGCAGGCACCGTACTGCACACACACACTCCATGCTTGAATCTAAGTAGTATCCTTGAGGCTGACTAGGACCACACATACACACGCACCCCAACCAGCTATTGACAACATGCTGCACACAGATACTTAAACAAAAACTCATATCAAGGAGTGAAACAAGGACCCCAACATTCCAAGCGGAAGCAGCACAAACATAAACATGGCCTGCCCACCAGTTTAAGGACAACTTTCAAATGTGAACATACTTGCCACAACACTGGGGCAAACATGCTCACGCCACCTTACATTCAGATGTAACCATGACTCGGGCAGGCCCAGAAAGCAGCAACATATACAAAGCTGGTATGTAGCACTGCATTGGGATGGGCAGTCTCCAGTGAGTCTTGTCTTTTAAAGATGTGCCCAAAGTATAATTGCTCCAATTTCATCATTTCCGTTTCCAGGAAAGTTCTGGCTTGATTGCTGTAGGACCCACTTGTTTGTCTGTCAGCTCCGGCACTGACAATGCCCTCTTTTAGCACCATGTTATATATGCATCAATGTTCGTCCTGTCAGCTTTCTTCACTGTCCAGCCTTCACACCCATGTATAATGATCAGGATATTGTGGATGAACTTGGCCTTGGTCTCCAGTGAAATTGTCCTTACCATTGATCATCTTTTCTAGTTACTTCATTCTTCTTTCACTTTCACCAGGAGGCATTTCAATTAATACTGACAGTAATATGGTATCATCTGCACATCTAATATTAATGTATCCTTCAACAATTTTACTGCTCCTGTTTCTCATCCTACTCCAGTTTTCTTTATGCTATGCCATATGCACAGACTGAACGAATAGAAAATAAACTACACATCTGCCTATAAGAAACCATTCTGCCACTGTAATAATTCTTTTTGTCTTCATTCTGTTTGATAGTTACTAAAGAGTTGGAATCTAACTCTATTTCTGTCACCTCTTGCTTTTGCTTCCTTCTCCCTTGTCCTTAGCAATTTTGAGTATTTCTTCTGTCATCTAGGATTTTTCTTTCTACAGTTGTCTGTCTGATTGCCTCAAGTATGTATTCGTGATAAACTGACAGCCGTCTTCACATAATTCTATAAATCTTTCTCCTGTTTGTTTCTGACCTGTAAGCTAAATTTCCCCCACAAGAATTGATTGTGCTTTGTTTCCTATTTTGTTCTAAAACCCTATGATAATCACCATATCTAGTTTTGGTGTGTTAATTCCTCTTGGACATTAGTACAAATATTTTTGATTTCTTCTTCAGCATCTGTTGTTGAGCACAGATTGAACGATGGTTATGTTGATAGGTTTTCCAAGAATTCTAATTGGTATTATTTGGTCAGACTCTGCATTATAGCCCCCCAATGTTTGTGCTAATTCTTGCCTCAGTATTATGATTCTTCTAAAGTTATCACTTCTAGACTAAAACATTTTGTTTGTCCAACCAGAAATGTCCCACTCCTGTCCAGTTTAGTGAATTCACTCCAAGTACTATGATGTTTAATGGTTCCATTTCTTGTTTTACAGTCTTTACTTTGCCTTCATTCATACTTACTTTCCGTTTTCCAATTGTACATGTTGTGCACGATCAGCCTTTCCTGTGAATGTCAGCCACTGGACTTCCTTTTGGCTTTGATCTAGTTGCATCATTACCAAGAGCACTATTTGTATGTGTCCTTTGTTCTCCCCCCCCCCCCCTTTCATTCTGGACTGCTTCATTATAGGGTTTACAAGGTAAGAATATTCACATGTGTTTTAGCATTGCTTGCTTTTGCACTGTAGTAACCAGAGTTAGCCTGAGTGTCCCTGCAGTTGTCTCTGGAAGATCATTCACCAGTGTCACCTTCTACCTCTGCTGCTACTGCCCAGTTTCGGGCATTTCTCTTGCACCATCATCATTACAGATATCCCGTGCCCTTCTGGTGATGAGACTGCTACTCATTTAAGGTGGTGGGTACATTCTATTCTGGTGTTTCAGCTTTGACCATTTTGCTCTGGGTGACCCTGCTAGGAAACCAGTGTAGAGAGACAGTCTGGCCTCCTGGAGGCATTGCTCTCAGTTTCTCTGGCACTTTCAACCCCCCCCCCCCCTTCCCACCACCACATTTAGGTATGCAATCGAGAGGGGACATTTGTAAAACATTTTACAGTTATATTTTCTAAGAGCACAAAGAAGACTTAAAGAAAAGATCAGTGAAAAGAACACATGAGAGCACAACTAAAACCATTAATCTCCCTTACCTGTATCTTTGCTGTGGAGATTGTTTTTCAGTTGACTTACAAACATGTCCAATGTAATACAAAGGAAAGAATAAAAAGTTCCAGTTTGTTGCAAACCATGTCAAAGTGAAGGGTGCATCAAATTTCTTAAAGGTCAGTTTTGCTAGCTGGGTTGAACCTGACCAGGAGGAACAGACGCCAAGTACCACCACCACACCCCAGAAAATTTTCTTAAGCTGGATCACAGAGCATGTCCAACAACATCGGCTCCCTCTTCCAGCAGCTTCCATGCCAGCTTGGGCCTGGGCTTCTGCTGGTGCTGGAGAATCATGGGAACGCTCATCCCCTGAAAAGAAGAGAGGGGGAAAGGGGAGGGAGATGAGTTAAATGGAAACCAGTGAAGAATACTCTGCAGCATTTTACATTCCAAGCAGAGAGTTATCAGCTACATCATGCATTGTTCTCTACCCAAGTAAAAATGTAATATACAACATTGTCTTAAACTACGACTAAGTTTCAGATCCCATTATTGCATGAATTATATTAATCCAAGACAAACAGTACTCAAATAAAGTCAATGGAATGGAATGAAAACCTATAGAAATATGTCAATTTGACACACAGACTACATACAGAAAGCATAATATTGCTGAGGTACAAACAAGAATTATTTGGTTTCATAAAAGTTCCAAAACTCAAGTGTGTCTTTTTTAATCAGTTTGCAATTCTGTAAATAACAAGAGTAAGCAGTTCATTCTGCACGAAATCATCTTGCTTTTCTCCTCTATATCCAAACTACAAAAGCCTAGAGATTTCATTCTAAGAGAGAGAGAGAGAGAGAAACCTGAAAAGAATCTGTAATGCACACCAGAGGTAAAATAAATAAGGCTATTATTGCCAAGTCACAAGACAGGCATAATATAAGGAAACATAGCCAGTTGAAAAATATTATATCCTCTGCGCTCAAATTATCCTACCACTGGAATACAAAATGAGCATATAATAGGGGAAGAAATAACTACAGAATACAAATCAAAGCATTAATATACATTTTTAGGCAGAATAATACAGAAGGCCCATGCAAATCTTACTAGCTCTCATAACTCTCTTTGTCTTTGTTCTCTTAGGTATACCTCTTAAAGGAGATGGTAGTTCCAGAAAAAACCCTAACATGAACCCCAATGATGATACTACATTTAAGCTAGTAGCCAACACCCCTTCCAGGGCATGCTTGAATGGGTGGTTCAGGGACTCTTAAATGATATGTTATATTGTTATATGATATTTTATATTGTTATTTATTTTATATTGTTATTTTGCCCATTTGGATAACCTTTGTTGGGAGTGGGAGATGGAGAGCAGAGTCCTGTTCATTCCTTGGACCTATTAGCAGCTTTCAAATGATTGACTTTTGTATCTTTCTGGATAGGTTGTCTGGGTTGGGAACTGAGAAGCACTGTGCTACAGTGGTTCTGCTCTGATTTGGATGGCCAATTCCAGAAGGCTGTGGTTGAGACACTGTGGCCTGGAAGCTATGTTGCGGGGTTCCACAGGGCTCTATTCTATCCTGCATAGTGTTTATCATCTACATCAAGCTGCTGGGGGTGGTTATCTGGAGATGTTGCTGATGTGCCATCAGTATGTGCACACTACCCGGCTTGATCTCTGCTTTTCATCAAATCCAGGTAAGACATGACTATTCTCAAACAGTGCCTGGCCACAGTAATGGTCTGGATGAGAACCAATAAAGTGAGATCAACCCAGATAAGACAGAGGTTAGTGATTGGTTTGTGTTTTATTCAACCTGCTCTAGAAGAAGCTGCCCTACCCGTAAAGGATCAGGTCCATAATTTGGAGCTGCTCTTAGATCCACTATCATTACAAGAGGTGGAGGTGGCCTTGGTGGCCCCGTGCACCTTTTATTTGCCTAGGCTGACATACCACGAGATAGCCTAGCTACAGTTATCTATGCTCTGGTAACATCTCATCTGGATTACTCCAATGCATTATATGCTGCTTTTACTCCAATGCATTACATGCTGCTTTTGAAAACACTGGGAACTTCAGCTGCTGCAAAGCAGGGCAGCAAAACTGTTAACAGCGAGTGATCATCATGATCATACTATGCCAGTATGTTTACCATCTGCACTAACTGCCAGTTTATCTCCGTGCTCAAAGTGCTGGTATTAGCATCCAGAGCTGTAAATGCTACCTAAAGAACTGCCTCCTCCAAGACCTTAAGGTTATCTTCAATGCAGTGAGCTCCCCCTGTCTCACCTGGCACCTATATTGTGCTTGATAGCTTTTCAATCTCAATATTCAATCTGTTATTGTATTCTAAACTTGACGTTACTGCTGGCTTTTGCTTTGGGTCCTATTCCTATTGCAAACAATACTTTAACACTTGTATAATGTATCTCATGCTGTATTTTATGGTTTTAATTGTTGTGAAGTGCCCAGACAGCTTCAACAATGGAGCAGGACAGAAATGTAATAAATAAGTAAATACCTGGGCAATGCTTTCATCTTTGGAAAGCACTCCATGTACATATTCTCCCAGTCCATATAGGGGTATAATGAAATACCATTGCTCACAGAATCTGCTAAATACTAATTACAAACATGGGAAAAATAGTTTGGATACATTCATTGTTGCAAACAAAATGGTCCACGTGTACTCTTAAGCCAAGTGTTAAACAAAGTGACAAAGGTGTTTACACTGCAGAAATACTGTGATACCCAATACCTTAAGTGTCACTTTACTGTGAAAATGATCACACACATCAGGGTTGAATTCCAAAGATGTTCTTCTGATCTCTCACTGGAAGAAGTAAAGCATATGCCAACTAAAATACTCTATCCCAATTTTGGAAGTAGTACATGATTTAAGAATGTTCTTTATCCATTTTCACTGACTGCTGTAAAAACTGTCTTCTGTCATCTACAATATAGGCCATGAGTCTAATCTGTTAGAGAGACTAAGGTATAAATCCTCACCGTAATGAAAAAGGTTGCCTATCCTACCAACACAGTCTACTGTATAGTCAAGCCTTCCCAACCCCGGTGGCTTCTAGAAGTGATTGGCTGGGGACGACTGGAGCCATAGTCCAAAACATCTGGGGAACACCAGAGTAGGGAAGGCTATTTGAGCCCAAGACTCATAAGATGTAGATTAGCTGAAGCAATGGCAAAGACAGGGACTGTGACCTCTGGGCCTCCATCTGCCTAAGCAAAATCTCACTTGCAAGAACTCAGGTCTACCGTCTGAGAAGACCAAGACAGCCAATAGCATCATAAAAAAGTTGATGCAAGGAGGGAAGAAGCCAGGGGGAAGCAAATAATGCAAGAACACCAGGAGAACTGTATACATATGGCTCTACTGATAGGCCCTAAGCTAGCATTCCTTGTATCCACTGACAGCTGGCTTGTGACACATACAATGCAGTGGAAATGGAAATAGTTTGAAACTTCTTCCCCCTAAAGCAACATCCCACTGTGTCTGAGCCTGACCTTCCATGATGAATCCTTCTTCACTATCTCCTGTAATTTGGCATGAATGACCCATTCCAATTTCCTCACTCTGACATCGCAAACTTCTTTTCCACCTGTGCTGATCTGTACTGCCTCCCTGTGGAGGTATTCATGTGAGCAGAAGAATGCCATACAAGAGGTGAAACAACTGTGCATCCTTTGGTACCCGACAGAGAAAAATACACTTATGATTAAACCTTCATAGTCTGAGAGATTGTCTCCTGCTGAAATGGCCGAGAAGAAAAATCGATTCTCTCTCTCTTCCCTCAGTTTTGTTCATGTTTTGCTCACCAACTCCTACTCTTGTATCACGTTAAGGATCTGCCTAACGGTGAGATCATTCAGTGGCATATTTTTTTGTTCCACTGCAATGTGACATGCTGTGCTGCCGTGCCCATAGCAGCAACCACAAGCAGTTCCGTGCAAGCCTTCAGCAGTAATAGGAATAGCTGGTCAATTCTGGCCAATCCACTGGTGTGACACTCACATGGCAGGAAAGATGGCTAAACTATGCCATATGCATTCTGCTCTCCAGGAGCAAACTGCTACGTAGGGATGCCAAGAAAAGGCGTACTTGCTAGCTAAAATAAACATGCTGCCAAATGACTTTGACAGTGCTGACCAAAGTAATACATGGGTATATGGAATCAACTCTCTATAAACAAAAGACCATTTTTGTCTATGCCGAGAGTAATGGTATGTATATATTGTACGAAGTAGTACACACACCAAGGGCAAGATTCCATCCCCTCTTCCTAAACACTACAGCACTTTCTCAGACGTAAAGGTTTCAAGATCCACCATTGGACAATACCCTTTAAACAAAAACATGAAGACAAACAGCTTTTACTTTGTGGGGATCTCCCCCACTTCTGGCTCTGTGTTTTTGTTTTTAATCAAAGAGAATCTCCCTAGAGTTGTTGTAGTGAAGTCTGTGGAATTGCTATGCAATGAACACAAAGTAAGCTGCTTGAATAGGATCAAAGGTAGAAGGCTGAGATATTTGTGCAGAGTTATGCAAGAATGAGGCCTGTTTAAAAAGACAGATTTAACAACAGCTTAATTATTTAACAGCCTGAAGGACAACCTTGATTAGAAAACATGATTGTGAAGAGTGTGAATACAGAAAGAAATCTAACAGGCAGGCGTATGTTAGGTATAAAATACCCCTTGTGTTGAGAATAGGCTCAGAGTATTCTGGCACAGCAAATGTACCCAGGAATGCATAAAGGCTAGGCCCCTACTGCAGGCCTTACCTGCTCCCATCCCCAAGCCCATCCCCTGATTTCCAATTGCTTAAAAGAGGACTGAGGAAAGGAACCCCTTATCTCCTTCCTGTGATTGAAGATAACAAAGAGATTTCCAATCACAGATCAGAAATAATGCAAGAACATAAGACAAGTGATGCCAAAGTTTCACCTAGTCCAGCACTGTACACATGGTGGCATACCAGCTGCCCACCAGCTGCCCACAGGATCATTCAAGCTGGATGGGTGCAAGACCTCTGCCCACCCAAGCTCCTCAGCAACTGGTTTATGTAGGTAAAGGAGGTAGCACCATAGCCAGCAAGGCTAGTAGCCACTGACAGCCTCCTCCCTCATGCATCTGCCCAATCCCCTTTTTAAAACCATCCAGATTGGCCATCACCGCTTCCATGGCAGTGAACTCCCCAGTTTAACTATACACTGTGTGAGGAAGTGCTTCTTTTTATTTATCCTAAACCTCCCACCAATCAGTTTCATTGGATGACCCTGGATTCAAGCGTAAGTGGAGAGATCTCTCCCTCTCCACTTTCTCCATACAACAT